TGATAATTAAGTTGCCAAAAATGAGTCCCGAGTGTGTTAAGGGCCACATTTCTTTAGTAGGCTTACATCGATAGCAATAATTTTACTTGGCGACCATACACACACACACACACACACACACACACACACACACACACACACACACATATGGCTGACAAAGAGGGGAGGAGAGCCTGTGGCTGGGTGGTTAAACAACTGCCTAACATGTAAACTGCCCATGTTCGAATCCCATAAAGGGTGTGGCTAACTGAGGAGAGCAAAAAGAGCTTGAAATGGCCATATTAGTCTCCCATCTTAATTCTTGTTTTAATTGTTTAATGTTTCTGTGATTGCCCAGAGTCACTTGTTGAGATGGGTGGATATAAAAATCCCCTCCCCTCCCCTCCCCTCTCCTCTCCTCTCCCCTCCCCTCTCCTCTCCCCTCCCCTCCCCTCCTCTCCTCTCCTCTCCCCTCCCCTCCCCTCCCCTCTCCTCTCCCTCCACCCTCTCCCCTCCTCTCCTCTCCTCTCCTCCCCTCTCTCTCTCCTCTCCTCTCCCCTTCCCTCCCCTCTCCTCTCCTCTCCTCTCCTCCCCTCTCCTCTCCTCTCCTCTCCTCCCCTCTCCTCTCCTCCCCTCTCCTTTCCTCTCCTCTCCTCTCCTCTCATCAATGCAACTAAGCCATTCTAATTCTTGATCTTCTTTTCTCTTTGAGTGTCTTCTTTTGTTGTCCTTCCCTTCCCTTCCCTCTCCTCTCGTCTAGTCTCCTCTCCTCCCCTCCCCTCCAATCCAATCCAATCCAATCCAATCCAATCCAATCAATACTAAAAACTCCTTAAAAAGCATATAGCCCTGGTGGTTCAGTGGTTAGGATGCAGTATTGTAGGCTAACTCTGCTCACTGCCAGGAGTTCGATCCTGACCAGCTCAAGGTTGACTCAGCCTTCCATCCTTCTGCAGTCAGTAAAATGAGGACCCAGATTGTTGGGGGTAATATGCTGACTCTGTAAACCACTTAGAGAGGCCTGTAAAGAACTGTGAAGCGCTATATAAGTCTAAGTGCTATTGCTATTGCTATATTTCCCTTTCCTAACTTGGTACTTGCCAGATAGATTACAGCTTGATTTTCACGGAATTCACAGAACAAACCGGCTAATTGGTAGTTTGTCAGCCCTCTCAGGTAAAGCAGGCAAGAAACACAACTAATTCTATTGTATTGTAGGACTACATTACCAGAATCTTGCACATCTGAATGTATAAACTTCCTGCTGCCACTTTTAACTGCTTAATCCATTAGGGTGGGTCCTTCCTAAGTTTCAATAGCTGACCATTAAATGACCATGGGCTCCTGCCTCTCTTGTCAGCTTGTTTCATAGCCAGCATCTTTCCCCCTCAACCTTCAAGGTCACCCATTCATTCTAGAATCAGAAGGACTGGTCTAATACATCTGGAGGACTTCAGGTTCAGGAAAATTGGATGTCAAATGTTCTTCATGTAGTCTTTCCCAATAGTGAATTCAGGAGTTTTCTCCCATAAAATCCCGATGTAGCGGATGACCAGGCTGAGCCTGAGTGAGGGATCAAGCGCGTCGTAAGTCACAAATCCCTGCATGCCTGCAATAGATCTAAGTCTAGCCCATCTTGAACGCCTCTCTTGTTGTTGTTAATTGCGAAGTCGTGTCCGACCCGTCGCGACCCCATGGACAATGTTCCTCCAGGTCTTCCTGTCCTCTACCATCTTCTGGAGTCCATTTAAATTCACACCTACTGCTTCAGTGACTCCATCCAGCCATCTCATTCTCTGTCGTCCCCTTCTTCTATTGCCCTCAATCTTTCCCAGCATTAGGCTCTTCTCCAGTGAATCCTTCCTTCTCATTAGGTGGCCAAAGTACTTGAGTTTCAACTTCAGGATCTGGCCTTCTAAAGAGCAGTCGGGGTTGATCTCTTCTAGGACTGACCGGTTTGAACGCCTTGCAGTCCAAGGGACTCGCAGGAGTCTTCTCCAGCACCATAGTTCAAAGGCCTCAATTCTTTTGCGCTCAGCCTTTCTTATGGTCCAACTTTCACAGCCATACATTGCAACTGGGAAAACCATGGCCTGGACTATACGCACTTTTGTTGGCAGGGTGATGTCTCTGCTTTTTAGTATGCTGTCTAGATTTGCCATAGCTTTCCTCCCCAGGAGCAAGCGTCTTTTAATTTCTTGGCTGCAGTCCCCATCTGAGGTGATCTTTGAGCCCAGAAAAATAAAATCTGTCACTACTTCCATTTCTTCCCCATCTATTTGCCAGGAATTGAGAGGGCCGGATGCCATGATTTTGGTTTTCTTAATGTTGAGTTTCAAGCCAACTTTTGCACTCTCCTTCTTCACCCGCATCAAGAGGCTCTTTAGTTCCTCTTCACTTTCTGCCATTAGAGTGGTATCATCTGCATATCTTAGGTTGTTGATATTTCTCCAGGCAATCTTAATTCCAACTTTTGATTCATCTAGCCCTGCCTTTCTCATGATGTGCTCTGCATATAAGTTAAATAGGCAGGGCGACAGTATACAGCCTTGCCGGACTCCTTTTCCAATTTTGAACCAATCAGTGGTTCCGTGTTCGGTTCTCACTGTTGCTTCTTGACCCGCATATAGGTTTCTCAGGAGACAAATGAGATGGTCTGGTACTCCCATCTCTTTAAGAACTTGCCACAATTTGTTGTGATCCACACAATCAAAGGCTTTTGCATAGTCAATGAAGCAGAAGTAGATGTTTTTCTGGAACTCCCTAGCTTTCTCCATGATCCAGCGTATGTTGGCAATTTGATCTCTAGTTCCTCTGCCTCTTCGAAATCCTGCCTGTACTTCTGGTAGTTCTCGATCCACATACTGCTGGAGTCTAGCTTGTAGGATTTTAAGCATAACTTTACTAGCATGTGAAATGAGTGCAATGGTGCGATAGTTTGAACATTCTTTGGCATTGCCTTTCTTTGGAATTGGAATGTAAACTGACCTTTTCCAATCCTGTGGCCACTGTTGAGTTTTCCAAATTTGCTGGCAAATTGAGTGTAGCACTTTTACTGCATCGTCTTTTAAGATTTTGAATAGCTCAGCTGGAATACTGTCACCTCCACTAGCTTTGTTGTTGCTCAGATTTTCTAAGGCCCATTTCACTTCACATTCTAGGATGTCTGGTTCGAGGTCAGTGACCATCTCATTGTGGTTATCTGGGATGTTAAGCTCATTCTTGTATAGTTCTTCTGTGTAGTTTTGCCATCTCTTCTTAATCTCTTCTGCCTCTGTTAGGTCTCTGCCATTTTGGTCCTTTATCATGCCCATCTTTGCATGAAACGTTCCCTTCATATCTCCAATTTTCTTGAAGAGATCTCTGGTCCTCCCTATTCTGTTGTTTTCTTCTATTTCTTTGCACTGTTCATTTAAGAAGGTATTCTTATCTCTTCTAGCTATTCTCTGGAATTCTGTATTCAATTGGGTGTATCTTTCTCTTTCTCCTTTGCCTTTGCTTCCCTTCTTTCCTCAGCTATTTGCAAAGCTTCCTCAGACAGCCATTTTGCTTTCTTGCATTTCTTTTTTTTGGGGATGGTTTTAGTTGCTACCTCTTGTACAATGTTGCGAACTTCCATCCATAGTTCTTCAGGCACTCTGTCTATCAGATCTAATTCCTTAAATCTATTTGTCACCTCTACTGTATATTCATCAGGAATATGATTTAGTTCATACCTGAGTGGCCTAGTGCTTTTCCCTACTTTTTTCAATTTAAGCCTAAATTTTGCAACGAGAAGCTCATGATCTGAGCCACAGTCAGCTCCTGGTCTTGTTTTTACTGACTGTATAGAGCTTCTCCATCTTTGGCTGCAGAGCACATAGTCAATCTGATTTCTATGTTGACCGTCTGGTGATGTCCATGTGTAGAGCCGTCTCTTGGGTTGTTGGAAAAGAGTGTTTGTTATGACCATCGTATTCTCTTGACAAAATTCTATTAGCCTGTGCCCTGCTTCATTTTGTACTCCAAGGCCAAACTTGCCTGTTATTCCGGTTATCTTTTGGCTTCCTACCTTAGCATTCCAATCCCCCATGATGATAAGGACATCATTTTTTGGTGTTAATTCTATAAGGTGCTGTAGGGCTTCATAGAACCGGTCAATTTCATCCTCTTCAGCACCAGTGGTTGGGGCATAGATTTGGACTACTGTGATATTGAATGGTTTGCCTTGGATTCGAATTGAGATCATTCTGTCATTTTGGGATTGTATCCCAGTATTGCTTTTCCTATTCTTTTATTGACTATGAAGGCTACTCCATTTCTTCTGAGGGATTCTTGCCCACAGTAGTATACCTGATGGTCATCTGAGTTAAATTCACCCATTCCTATCCATTTTAGTTCGCTGATTCCTAAGATGTCGATGTTCAGTCTTGTCATCTCTTTTTTGACTACGTCTAGCTTGCCTTGATTCATGGATCTTACATTCCAGGTTCCTATGGAGAAAAAATCTTTACAGCATCGGACTTTCCTTTCACCACCAGATATATCCACAGCTGAGCGTCCTTTCGGCTTTGGCCCAGTCGCTTCATTCTTTCTGGCGCTACTAGTACTAGCCCTCTGCTCTTCCCCAGTAGCATATTGGACACCTTCCGACCTGAGGGGCTCATCTTCCAGCGTCATATCTGTTTTCCTTTTAGTACTGTCCATGGGGTTTTCATGGCAAAGATACTGGAGTGGTTTGCCATTTCCTTCTCCAGTGGATCACATTTTGTCAGAAGTCTCTGCTATAACCTGTCCGTCTTGGGTGGCCCTGCACGGCATAGCTTATAGCTTCATTGAGTTACGCAAGCCCCTTCGCCACGACAAGGCAGTAATCCATAAAGGGGACACCTCTCTTATCTACCGCTCATTTCCCTTGACTGTTGGTTGGTCAGATTCTTGTAGAGAGCCTACGTTTGCAATGAATCTTTCTACTCATTTGAACTGCCTGAATCTCCTGGTTTCCCTGGCTCTTGACAGCTGCTTTCTTTCTTTCCAAACAGGCCACCCAGTCGCTATGAAAAATGGCTCAGCTCTATTACAAAAAAGTAAACTACTCCCCCTATAGAGACCGGATCCCACTGCAAATTGTCCGGGCAGAAGTGGAGCTGTCCTCGGAGGAGAAGGCCTACCTCAGTGCTGTGGAGAAGGGGGACTATGCCAGCGTGAAGCATTCCTTGGAGGAGGCGGAGATCTACTACAACATCAACATCAACTGTATGGACCCTCTTGGTCGCAGTGCCCTTCTAATAGCCATAGAGAACGAAAACTTAGAGATTATGGAGTTGTTACTGAGCCACAATATCTACGTGGGTGATGCACTCCTGTATGCAGTACGGAAAGAAGTTGTAGGGGCTGTGGAACTGCTTCTGAATTACAAGAAGCGAAGTGGGGAGAAGCAGGTAAGTCAAGAATGAACAGATGTGTATCCAAGGGATTTCCCAAAGGTTCTATCTATCTGTCTGTCTGTCTGTCTGTCTGTCTGTCTGTCTATCTATCATGGGAATTATTCAAGGGATCTGATGGGTAAAGTTTATTGGCTTTGCTTTAAACTGGATTCTGTGATTGGGCATGTCCTATTGAGGTGACTGAGAAATGCTTTGGCTTGGCTATCTAGGATAAGCTTGAATCCCAAAGATGCTTTTTCACAAGGCAACTGGACTTTCTTGTTTTTCTTTCTTTCTTTTTTTTTTTGAATAAATTTAGCTTCTCATCCAAGAAGCTTCTTCAAAAGTGAACTTTCCTCAAAAAAAAGAAGAAGAAAAAGAAAGAAAGAAAAAAAGAAAGAAAGAAGAAGAAAAACAAGAAAGGCCAGTTGCCTTGTGAAAAAGCATCTTTGGGATAACTATGACCTGTATGACTGAGAATCTCCATAGATAAGCTTGAATGTATAAATCTTAAGAAAGTAGATGGGATCCTTCAGGCTATGGATGCATCTTGGTTAATCAAGGTCTCCTGGGAGATGATGTGCAGTCGGACCCAACAGATAGTGAATTCATTCTTGAGGGAAGGGATGTACTTCACTCATTATTTAACAAAATCCCTCATCATTAGACCAAACATTGTTGAATAATTTCTGACTGGTCTTGAACGTTTCTTTCTGGGAAGGTTAGAGAAAGTGTTGGTTTGAGGTCTGGGGTTTCAGAGCACTGTGGAGAAAGAAGATTATCTGGATTCCTTCCAGTTAGGTTTCAGGCATGGAGACAGCATTGACCACACTTGTGATCTTTGACAGGCATCTATTCTGGTCATCTATGCCGGTCATCTTTGATCTTTCTGCATTCAATACCATTAATCATGGAATCATTTTGGTTTCCCCCCCAATTGTTTTATTTTTTTTATTAACTTATAATATAAAACATGAAAATATAAAAGCAAATAGTAAGGAACAAAGGTAAGGGGAAGGGAAAAAGAGACGTGTGAAAAAGAGGGGGAAAAAAGGCATTAACTTCCAGCTGCCTCTGTTGCAGTAAAATAAGGCATTAGCATCAAACCTCAACTTTTTACATTTCATTTTACATTTCTATGGCAGTATGAACTAGCCATTTCTATATCAACAAATCAATCTAATCAGCAAAACCCAAAATCAAAGTATCGTTTTTTCACCCACCTCAAGCAAAAAGTCCAGAAGTGGTTTCGAAGTAGAAACTAAAGTACTTATATTCTTTTCTTTTATCAAAACAGTCAATTTAGCCATCTCTGCTAACTCTATCAACTTTTGTAGCCATTAGTCCATAGTGGGAATCGAAACATCCTTCCATTTTTGTGCGTCGTCTCGCTGCCATGAACATCTATAAAATCTGTAATTAAGATGAATGTTTTACCAGAGATGCTTTTTCTGTTTCAAACAATACTTGCAACTAATATTCCATTTAAACAATAGCAGAGGGATATTTCCAAGTTTATATGGCAAGGGAAGAAACCAAGAATTAGATATAAGTTACTATAAGATGCTAAGGAAAGAGGGTGGTTGGGTTTACCGGATTTGAAATTGTATTTTGATGCATGTTGTTTGGTCTGGCTAAAAGAGTGAGTGAACCTCCAGAACAAGACACTACTTGATTTGGAAGTTCATGAATTAAGGTTTGGATGGCACAGTTATTTATGGTATGATAAAATGTTGATTTCAATAATCATTTTATTAGACGTGCCATATTAAGAGTTTGGAATAAATATAAAACAAGTTTTTTTTATAAAGTTGCCTCTATGGGTGTCCCCCCAAGAAGCTTTTTTTTTTTAAGAAAAGAAATGGCGGTGAAGCTGGACTGGACGTACGGTAAAATAATATCTTTTAATTTTGGTCAAGTCTAAGGAAGAGTTAGAATTAGAAGGTCATGCAAATGAAAGAAAGATTCAAACTAGATAAAAAGAGTCATGGTTGATTTTGTTAAAAACGAATTGGCCATTTCACTATGTGGTAGTGATGACCATATTATTCCTAAGGTTTACAAAACGTAATTGAAATTGAATTTGGAAAGTGAACATGTAAAATATTGTATGATTCAATGGGCCAGGAACTTCATGGGCATAATGTGATGCTTGAACAATGGGAGAATATGTGGACGAAAGGCTTAAAATTCGCACTGATTTATAATTTAAAAGAAAACTTTTATAAGGTGACGTATCGCTGATACTTAACACCAGATAAGTTATCTAGAATATATAAAGGTATCTCAAATGAATGTTGGAAAGTAAATGTAAAGAAGGGACTTTTTATTGTTTATGGTGGACATGTGATAAAGCAGAGAAATATTGGAACAGGATTCATATTCTAATGCAGAAAATTCTTAAAGCGAATATAAAGATAAAACCAGAAACCTTTCTTCTGGGTCTAATGGAAAAAGACTTGGAAAATTTTAGGGGGGAAATCATGGAATCTTTTTGAACCAAAAAGATTTTGTAAATCTTTTTGTAAATGTGTGTGTGTGGTGGGGGAGAGACTGTTGTGATGGATCAAATTTCAGTTGGTGTTGAGTGAGGAAGAGAACTCTGTTATATAATGAGTCTCGGGATTTGATGGTCTCCTTTTTAACATCTATATCAGGGGTCCCCAACCCCCAGTCTGTGGACCAGTACCGGCCGCAACATGCCAGCAACCGGTCCACACAAACAAACAAAGCCCCATCCATGGGATGCAGGCAGCACACAAAACCACGCACCCTCCGATCTGTGGAAAAACCTCTCTCCCTGGTGCCTGGTGCCCCAAAGATTGGGGACCTCTGATCTATATAAAGCCACTGGGTAAGGTCATCCAAAGTTCTGAGTTAAACATCATTAGTACACTGATGATATCCACCTATATCATCTCAACCCTGAGCTGTCCAAGTGATGCTGTTTTATGCCAGTGTCTGGATGCCTTGGGAGTCTGGAAGTGGACGAACAGGTTTTGGCTCAACCATAGCACAGAGAAGCTAGATTCATTTAACAACCCTGTTACTACTGTAGCAATTCACTTAGCAACTTTGGCAAGAAATGGGGAAAAAAAACCTCGCCTAACAACTGTCTTGCTTAGCAACAGAAATTTTGGGCTCACTTGTGGTCGTAAATTGAGGACTACTGTATTAAACAGTGCCATCTTACTGGACCTAAGAGATATATCTTCTCTAACATAGGGCCTACCCTATGGAACAGTTCCCTCCCCATATTCAGGACTTAATCCTGCAGATTTATAAAGGCTTCAGGCTTACTGTAATCTCCCCAACGTTTCACTCTATTTTTCCTCATTGTTCTGCATTATAGGTTTTCACCCTTGTTAACTGTCCAGCATCACTTGGCAAAGAGCCAGCCAAATACATTTAATAAAGAAATAAATAAATTGGTAGTTGGACATGCATAGAAATCCATCCATCCTCCACTGCCCTTATCAAGGCAGTTTTGGAATTAGCTCCAGCTAACATTTGAATCAATCATGCTGGGGCTTGAATTATTTAAAGCCATCATTTCTGCTCTGTCAAATTTTAGTTTGTAAGCGCCTCAAGGCAAAGCCTCTTGAGAATAGCTGTGCTGGTAGTACATAAATTATAATAACAGGTAATCACAATGCTCCATTTGGGGTTCTCTGCCCCCTCGAAAGTTACCATAGAACTGGAAAAAAAAAAAGAGAAAGGGAATCAGAATGATCAAAGGTCTGAAAACATCAGTGGGCTATACTTGTTTGTTTCTTAAAGACGCAACTAAAATGGCAATCATACACAGCTTTCTCTCTGGAATTAAGGAGAAACTTCATAACAGTGAGAACAATCAACCAATGGAATAGCTTGCCTTCAGAAGTTGTGTGTGTTCCATCACTGGAAATTTTCAAGAAGAGACTGGACAACAACTTGTCCACAATGGTATAGGGTCTCCTGCTTGAGCAGGGGGTTGGATTAGAAGACCTCTAAGGTCCCTTCCAGCTTTTTTCTGATTGATTGATCCCCAGAATAAGCTACTTTCTGATTTGCACACTTCAAATATATATATTTATATATATGTTCAAAGGTAGACACTAACTAGCTGGTCGGTTTTTATTTTTCACATTCAACTGCTTTTTGGTTACAAAGAAATAATTGTTGAATCACTACATTCCAAGGGGAAAAAATAGACACAGGGATTTCTTTAAGACACTCATTTACAAAACCAAAGGGACCAGAGACACTTCGCTGTTTAATCTGCAAGGTTTAAAACTCTTTATTTATACATTATTTCTCCACTTTCTTCACTATATGTCAACATTGATCTGCATCCAGGGTTCTCCCCCCCCCCCCTTGCTTAAGTAACAAAATACCCTGAGCCATCCCCAGGGAGAAATGCATTTCTATCTTAGGTTTAAGTGTTGGGAGATGCTATTATCCCAATCAAGTAGAATTTTCTTTGGGGGAAGCTTTAGAATATGATCTAGCAACTGCAGAATGACTGCATGGGGAATGGTCTGGCCTATGAATAGAAACAGACAGAGTTCAATCTCAAGAACCAGGATGATGACAGCACAAGAAGAATGAGCCTTGGTGGCACAATGTTAAAGTGCAGTTATTGCAGGCAAACTCTGCCCACTGCCAGGAGTTCGATCCCGGATGGGGCTCAAAGTTGACTCAGCCTTCCATCCTTCCATAGTCAGTAAATGAGGACCTGGATTGTTGGGGGCGATATGCAAATAATGCATTGACATTGTAAGCCACCCATGTAAGGAGCTGTGGGGCAGTATATAAGCCTAAATGCTATTGCTATTTCAAGGAACTTTAAAAAAAAAAAAGCCAACTTGCAAGAATTTTGGCCAGGTCTTGCAAAATCTCTCTGTTTTTGCAGGAGACTTTATGAGATTTCTAACGTTTGAATATACATACACATATGCATATATTTCTGATGTGGTTGCATCTTGCATAATTGCTTTAAGGGTGCTTTCTGCCCCCCCCCCAAAGCTTACTAA